GAGAGAGAGAGAGAGAGAGAGAGAAACACCATATAAATAAATAGGCAGCACTGGTGTTTTAGTAGGGCACAATTAGGTCTGCCTTTATGTGCCTCTAGACTAATTAGGAAAGGTTTAAATTTACTCAGATAATTCATTTAAATATTGATAATTGTTCTGATAAATATTTTCCAAGCCTTAGTCCAAGTGTCTGCTTTGCTTTCTGACATATAGAATCAGTCCCTATTTCTTGAATTTTCTCTGCCCTTCTTGTCTATCACTTTATATTATTTATTCATCTACTTTTTCACTACTTTCTCTCATGTCTCCTTTTCCTCTTTTTCCCCTACACTTTGGATCTTCCTACAAGTTTAGCATTTAGCCCATACCATATTGCTTTTCCCTCCACCTATGGCTTTTCATTGTAGTTTTAAGAATCATCACTAAGTGGATGCCTATTTCCCGATCGTATCTTTCCATCTGTTATATGTTTTTTCACTTGCAAATCCAACTGTCACCTGCTGTTCATCACAATTGTAGCAAAACTAATCCATTTTGTGTCAAACCACAGTGTTTCTGCTAATGACATTGAAGATCGACTCGTTTCTCACATTTGAAACCTTCGAGCCAATTTTGCTTCTAATTTTTCCTTTGATCTCAATATGCAAATCACTACCAACTCCCTTCATTTCTTGTATCACACTATATCTAACAGTCATCCTTTCTCATCTCTTTTCTTTTTTTTCTCTATTTTCTCATCCTTTCCTCCCTTCGTACAAGAACTGTCCAGAATTCAAGATCTTCCAAAAAAAAAAAAGTAAAATAAAAGCTGGGGATTTAGCTCAGTGGTTCTGGCGCTTGCCTTGCAAACGCAAGGACCCAAGTTCAATCCCCGGTACCAAAAAATAAATAAATAAATAAATAAATAAAGTAGAATTCAAGATCTTGATCAAGCCCAACTTCCACCAGAAAGTCCATACCTAATGGATATCTTGTTTTTGTAACTCCTGGAAACAGAATGAGGAGGATGGTAGAAAGAACACAGCCAAAGCTCCTAATTCAAGTTCTGATCCTACCATTCATTGCCTCCATCAGATTCCTCATAGTCACCCTGTCTCACAC